TTTTAGTAGAGACGGGGTCTCGCTCTTGCTCAGGCTGGTTTCGAACTCATGAGCTCAAACAATCCGCCCGCCTCGGCCTCCCAGAGAGCTAGGATTACAGGCGTGAGCCACCGCGCCCGGCCTTCAAATGAATGTTGATGTACAAACTTGAGTTTACAACAGGTTTAGACTAAGATGATATATATTAAGATTAGTTTCACAGTCCAGAATTGGCCTCTGATATTATATTCCTTACACATTTAATTTTGCTACAGCAGTTTATTTTTAGGTACTGGACAATGATCTCAAACTCTATTTCAACTTTAATCAGAAACCATGAGATGGTCTACGGCCATACCACCCCGAACGTGCCCGATCTCGAAACTAAGCAGGGTCGGGCCTGGTTAGTACTTGGATGGGAGAAGTCATGATATCGTTTAAGAAAAGTAATTTCTGTAATCACCAAAGCTGTTACACAGATTTTAGTAGGTTTTCAAAAGCCATTAGGTGAATTGATTTACACCAATCAAATTTACAAGGAACTGATTTATATATAAGAATGTCTACTTATCCATTTTAATGAGAACAACTGTCAAACTGATCAGATTCTTAGAATTTTAGTCCTTGTCAAGATCTCAAACATCATCTAATCTAACCCATTCATGGACTCCAGACAGAAGAAAAATGGAAATCAGAGAATTTAAGAATTTGTTAGTATACTCCCGCATGGATCAGAGAAGGTACCCTGAAAGGCTGGCCTAATTTGAATGCCTGGCAAGAATTATGAAAAAAGATATACACAAAGCACATAATTAAGATTATCTAATTACCTTTGGCCTGAATCAAACAATGTTCTGAATTTTCATTTGGTTCTCTAGACAGACTTTCCTACTGGAAGAGAATGAGCTGACTAATCCATACAAACATCCAGGAATACTTGTAGCCTCACTGTATTAATATACAACTAATCTGGCTTATGAATCAAAGTTTAGTGGTCATAATTAGCAGATATCAACTTATAAAGTCTGATCCCTAATAACTTTCTAAAAACTACAAAAAGAAAGAAAATTTTAGTAAAATAAACAGAATTTGGAATCATATGATTCCATTAAAGAAAGCAATATTCTTAGCAATATGAAAGAAATTTTTAAAAATTATTTGTTTTGAGTAGGTAATACATTCATATTGTTTAAATCTGTTATAACAATTCATACACAAGAAGTCTCACTCCCATCCCTTCCTTCTCTACTTTGCTACCCCCTATTTTCCTTCCACAAGCAACTCCTCTGTTTCTTGTGTATTCTCCCAGCTACCAGTAAATACACATATATATTCTAATAATCTCTTCTTTCTAAGTTCAAGAGATAGAATACCATATACACCATCGACACCTGAGTCTTTTCATTTAATTAAAACCAGTATATCTAGAATACCTAAAAAGTAGAAGTTCAAAGTAATGTTGGACTAGAGGATCTTCCAGGGTTACCACTTAAATCCCATAGCCAAGAGGTTATTAGGGCTGTCATGGCAGCCTAGACCCTCAATCTCAACCACGTTCTGCTAACATTCGTACTATAAACATAGACTGAATGTCTACTTCAGTGCAGCTCCTTGCTTGATGCAGCTCCTCCTGGGCTTAAAGAGTTCATAGTTTAATAAGGCACACCCAGACTAATAGTTCTTATTCGCTGCTGCTCAGTGCTATACCCTCAACACCCAGAATGGCAGCCTCTCAATAAATATTAGTTGAATGAATAACTCTCTCAAAGGGCCTCTCTTTTTGAGGTGACGACTTCTGTGTAACTATCTCTAGTCCAGATGGCAGATCATAGTATTTCTGCAGTGATTTTATCATGTTCTTTTCTTGAGCTACCTAAAGAACTTCAGCATGTTTCCCCAGTTACTTCTTATCCACTTTGAGACATATTTCAGCTTAATTTATGTACATTAGCTGGGGTAGATTACTCATGTCAGGTGGACCTATATTATAAAACTCCATGTGTTTTAGGACTTCATTTTGGGTATCCTTACCCATACTTTCATATGAAATCTGGCTTATAGATGATAATGGGAAAATTACTGAAGCTGGATGTATAATCTGTGCGAGTCCAAATAAATGGTCGCCTGGAAGTTTCAATAAAATCCTTAATAAACTTTTATAGAGTTTGATACAGTGTTAGTGATACACCTTGCATGACATAGATGTCTTCCAATTCCCTTTTCTATTTCTACTTTTATGTACCCTCTTCTGGCCCTCTATTGTGTTGTCAGAGAAATGGGAGTGTTTCCTTACTAAACACATGATTTTGAAATGAGTTTTATCTGTGTATTTTGGGAAAGACACAACAAACCAAATCATTCCAAAACTGTTCTTCATGTAAAATTTCAAAAATTCAAATAAACATTTCAACCTAGAAGATGTCACTAAAAAATAATGAATGCCCTTTAATAATCTAAACAGAATATAATCCTTCCACACAACCCCTCTTCAGCATACTCTGCATAGGTTCCCAGCAGCTAAACAATGGGCATCATAGCTGGATACATCAACTTCACACATCATTTTAGTCATTACCAGAAGTTAAATACTAAAGATGCTTGACCAGAGAAAAATGTATAATCAGTAAAAAAGCCAGTATTAACTTTATATTTAAAGGGCATCATGTAAAGCTGGGGAAATAACAAGAGGAAAGATGGAGTATGCTTATTAGTTATAGATTTTATTTTAGAAAAAGGGAGTACAGCAATGGGAGAAGAAATGAGAGGCTTTCAACTCAGTTGTCTACTGCCTACCTTAAACTAGATAGAGGCTGGGTACTAACAAGCAATCGCGGAGCGGACAGTCAGCTCTTTCATTTCCAGAACCCCTGATGAAACAGACCAGACTACTGTTCCGAAAAACTCAAAGACTCACTGTGTCTTTGAGGTCAGTCGATGGACAGCTACTTCTCTGTATATCCATGAATAGCTCCCTACCAGTGAACACGTCTTTCACACGTATCAGAATTCCCTACCCTACTCAATTATCTTCCTACATACATAGGACGTATAATTTTTCAAGATCTCACACAAACATGGTCTTCTGAAGCACCCAAGAAAGGCCTTCCGTGGCATGAAATAGAGCCGCTATGGTGTGGTGGCCAACAAGACTCCAGGACAGCCCAGAAAACATCACGATAGTCTCAGGACTTCGCCCTCAAACGGGCTTCCTGGCTTCGTTTTCTCTCTGGTTTCGTAAGAGGCGAGGCCACAAAAAACACAGCAGCCCCCTAGGTAAGCAGACCCTCAAACACAAACAAAAGACTATGACTCTGAGACCAAACTGCGGTCCCTACCAAGAGAACCGCTTCCTTCGGTGGGCATGCAGCTTTCTGAGGCAGCGGGGAAATCTCGTCTGTTCCAAGTCAGAAAGTGGGTAAAAGCAGAAGGAGAAAGGGCTTGAAGACTCACGAGTCTTGAATAAAAAGCTCGGACTATCCCATCCCCAGGGCAGCAGATCCAAAATACGATTCCCGCCCTGAGCCCAAAAGAGGGAAGCCCGGGACCGAGCGCAGAGAACAGCCGAGAGCAGCGCGCACACCCCCGGCCCGCTCCCTCCACATCCCGCCAGGACCCAGCAGCATCCCCACGGGGCGGCGAGGCCAGTCCGGGAAAGGCGCTTACCCACTTCCAAGCACCGAGCGCGGCGGCCGCTGTACCCCGAACGCTCGGACCGCACCTTCCTCCGAGCCGAGCTGTCGCAGCTTCTGCACCCACGCCCTGCTCCGCCTGACCTCCCCTCACTGCACGCCCCTCCCTCAGGCTGCCAAAAGCCGCACCCCGAGTCCCGGGCCTGAGCCCGTCTTTAAAGGCTTCTGCCCGAGAAGGCGGAGGTTTCATTCCCCCGCAGCCAGGGCCTCCTGGACTCTGCCCTCAGCCGCTTCTCTGCTCCTCCTCCCGCCACACCAGGCCCAAAGCCCGGCCCCCATTTCCTTCTGGGCGCAGGGACGGGGGGGTACGAGGGGCACGGGGGGAGGGGTTAGCTGTGGCGGGGAGGGGGCGGCCCCGCCTCTGACCAAACTGGGCGAATCCGCTCGGGCCAGCTCAGCGGCCCCGCCCCTGCCGCGAGCGGCGTTGGGCGGGGCTACGTGTGCGGCGGGCCCTCTAGGCCCTGGGATTGGGGCTCCGAGCGCTTCAAGGTTCCTTACTAGCTGACCTGGCAGTCGGGAGGCTGGGTCTTGTGGTCCAGCCCTGGCCCTGTGGACCCGTCCTGGCTGAAGCGGGGACCTCGTGAGCGCTAGGTCATCCAAGCTGTACGGCTGCGGTGTACAGGGCGGGTTGCGGGCCGAGACGACCGGAAGGTCCTGGCCCCCTTTCCGGTCTCTTCAGCACCCTGGAACGCTGCCCTAGGTTTTCAGCCCCCGCGACCCTACGGGTCGGTCCCGGCAGACGTATTACTCCCCTGCCACACCCGCTTGGACCCTAGGTCGGCCGCACCCTCCAGGCCAGCGACCCAAGGTTTAGTCAGATCCCTCCTGACCCGCTGCTTCTGGGAACGAGGCGCCTCACGTCAGGAGGATGCTGAGTTCCATCATGACTGGACCAGTCAACGTCCCCGCCTTGGTCCCTGACAAAAGAAGCGGAACACCCACGCCCTCCTGGCAGACTTCCCAGAGATACTCCTGCGGCCAAATTCGGGATTTGGGATGTCTGTGCATGATATGAGGCAGAGATTATGCAACATATAAATGCCATGTGTGAGCAAGAGTAAAATTAACGCATGGAGCTTGCCCACTTTTAATGTGCAGAGCAGCTGTGTTCCTCTCCTTCACCCCTCTGAGATTGTGTTCAGCCTCAAATGTAAGAAGAAAAAAGCCACGCTCAGTCGTGGAATTTATTTATCTCATTAAGAATTACATCAGGTAGCATGTACTTTAAGTCAAAGAGTATTTTAACCTATGTCATGAGGAAAGTGCTTAGGCATTTATAAAGGCACATCAAATCCCATACAGATTGCTGTTTTCTTGATAGGTTCTTGACGGCAACTTTAAGAAAGTTGGATGTTGATTAAACATAGTTTGTTGTGGATTGTAGAAAGTGTGATAGGCTATATAAGCTTTGTACATTCTATGCAGTTCATGTTATTTGCTTTTTTCACTCTTGTTCTCTCGTAAGTGTACAGTAGAATTTTCCATAGTCTATAATGCGATATCGTAACAGATTGAATGCAAAAGTAGATATGAGAATCCAGCTCTTAAGTCAGATATTAGGGATTTACAAAAATGTAAAACAATGCCAATCTTCTTACTAATTTTTTATTTGGATAATAGAGTAATTTTTAT